GCAGGTTAAGATCCTCCCTGGTAAGCCAGCTTGTGGGCTACATAGAATATTAGAAATGGGTTAGAACAATATGTAAGAGCTAGCCAATAAGAAACTGGAACTTGTGGGCCAGGCAGTGTTTGAAAGAATACAGTTTCCGTGTAATTATTTCGGGCATAAGCTAGCCATGAGGGCGGCCGGGTGCCGGGGACGCAGCCCTGCCACTCCTATTTCAACACTCTTGAAAGATTAGTTTTTCAAAATACTCAAGGTTTACTTATCAGATCATAATTCTTCAAAGCTGATGGTCCATTACTAACTTTACTAAGAATTCCATACTTCCCCCCCCCCCTTGTTTCAAAATGTAGTAACTATCCCATTATTTTAGAAGATGTAGATTTTTTTTTGAAATGCACTTCTGGGGTTTTGTACCATTCATGCTTTTGTTTCACATTTGTTTTTGTATTAAGTAGCATCTCCTGTAGAGAAGACTGGTTGCAAACTTGCTATTCAGATGACCATAGATTCCCTAATATCCTTACTTAGTGCTTTGTGTGACATGGTATCTTATTTACAGAAGAGTGGGTAACAAACCTAGGGTTTGACCCTAACCTACAGAAATAACAGTCCCAAAGATGATGTGTTCAGGGGAAGAACTGGAGATGAAAAATAAAAAGGTGGACAGCTGAAATTGAGAGGTCTTGTTTGAGCTGATTATACCAAGCAATTTTAATAAGAAACATAGCTTCTTACATACTATTTGCATGGGAGAAATGGCCAAGGAGTGCAAAGACAATGTTTGCCAGGAAAACAGAAGATAGCTCAAATTATCTTCTGTCAACTGCCTTAGGAATGACAGTCCAGTCCAGGTAAAAGGTCAGTTCCTGAGAAAAAACTGCCACATTGACCCTGTTTTTCTTTTCAAGTGACATAATTTTTTTTTTTATTTTTTATTGAAAAAAAATTTTCCGCCTCCTCCCAGACTCCCATTCCTCTCCCCCTCCTCCCACTCACTCCCACTCCTCTCCCCCTCCCTCTCCAGTCTGAAGAGCAGTCAGGGTTCCCTGCCCTGTGGAAAGTCCAAGGTCCTCCCCCCTCCATCTAGGTCTAAGAAGGTGAGCATCCAAACTGGCAGGCTCCCACAAACCCAGTTCATGCAGTAGGATCAAAACCCAATGCCATTATCCTTGGCCTCTCATCAGCTCTCATTGTCTGCCATTTTCAGAGAGTCCGGTTTTATCCCATGCTTTTTCAGTCCCAGTCCAACTGGCCTTGGTGAGCTGCCAATAGATCAGCCCCATTGTCTCAGTGGGTAGGTGCACCCCTCACGGTCCTAACTTCCTTGCTCATGTTCTCCCTCCTTCTGCTCCTCATTGGGACCTTGGGAGCTTAGTCCGATGCTCCAGTGTGGGTCTCTGTCTCTATCTCCATCCATCGCTAGATGAAGGTTCTATGGTGATATGCAAGATATTCATCAGTATGGATATAGGATAGGGCCATTTCAGGTTCCCTATCCTCAGCTGCCTAAGGAACTAACTGNTAGATGAAGGTTCTATGGTGATATGCAAGATATTCATCAGTATGGATATAGGATAGGGCCATTTCAGGTTCCCTATCCTCAGCTGCCTAAGGAACTAACTGAGGACATTGCCCTGGGCACCTGGGAGCCCCTCTAGGTTCAAGTCTCTTGCGAACCCTAAGATGGCTCTCTTAATTAAGATATATGCTTCCCAGCTCCCATATCCATCCTTCCTTTATCCCAAACATCCCATTTCCCAAGTTTCCCCCATCCTCCCCTTCTCACTTTTCTCTCCCCATTTTCCCTTACCGCCATCCCACCCCACCCCCAAGATCCCAATTTTTTGCCCGGCAATCTTGTCTACTTCCCATAGCCAGGAAGATAAGTATATGTTTTTCTTTGCATTCACCTTCTAATTTAGCTTCTTTAGGATATCAGATTATAGACTCAATGTCCTTTATTTATGGCTAGAAAGCAATTATGAGTGAGTACATCCCATGTTCATCTTTTTGGGTCTGGGTTGCTTCGCTCAGGATAGTGTTTTCTATTTCCATCCATTTGCATGCAAAATTCAAGATGTCATTGTTTTTTACCGCTGAGTAGTACTCTAATGTATATATGTCACACTTTTTTCATCCATTCTTCCATTGAAGGACATCTAGGTTGTTTCCAGGTTCTGGATATTACAAATAATGCTGCCATGAATATAGTTGAACAAATGCTTTTGTAATATGATAGGGCATCTCTTGGGTATATTCCCAAGAGTGGTATTGCTGGGTCCAGGGGTAGGTTGATCCCGAATTTCCTGAGAAACCGAAA